GTAGCCTCAGCATCCTCTGGTCAAAATGGTTGGCTGTGGATGCTGAGAATTGTATTCCAAGGCATCTGAAGGGCATCCATTTGGAGAAGGGGAGGTACTAATTAATTTTTGAAACCCAAGGTCTGTCTATAGCATGTGAACATGCAGAGTTCTACTCTATTCCTCTGTGGTTGTTGGTCATCTCCAGTTCTGCTGTCCCTGTTGTGTACTTCCGTTTCATGTCTGAGGTTTACATATCTTTCAGTGACATATATGTGTACTGTCATGTTCTCTGTAGCGATAATCAGCAGAAAGACTTTAAGTGCAGCTTTGAAATAGCTGGGCTTGCCTACAATTGTATTTGCAGTTAGCAGCCATTCATTGTTTTTGTTCTTTTATCTGCTTTAGCTTTTTACTATTCACTGTTCTAGAATCTGCCTAGATATGGAGTGATGTGCCAATATTATAGATAAAAGTATATATAAAAAGTAACGAATATAGGAAATGGAATCTTTTTATGGGTAAGAAGAAAGCATAAAATTTTCCACCCTGTATCACTGCATAATCTAATGCATCTGTGGGACAACATCATGATTTCATGTGCATGTTGTCAGTAAAGATATTTTTACACCCATTATCCAGTTTGAAAACCTTTCCCATTTGTGTAGAAAAGCAGTTTGGTAATGGAAATTTTGATCAGAAAATAAACCAGAAAGGGAAGTACTAAGTGTCCCTTTGTTCCCATTTTTCAGTTTTCTGCAGCTGCTCTTGTTTCTTTTTAAAGCTGTCAGCCTGTTACACCTGTCTGCCCTTTAATGTCAAGTTCAGCCCTATCTCTGCAAGATTTATAGCATATCCTATTCATGTTTGGTATAATTTAGAGTGGAAAATCTGTATAGAAGAGTTATGAACCATTTGTAATTTTCAGCACATGGGCTTTGCTCATTCTTCCACTCCTTTTACTGTGTATTCCATTTTACCCGATATGGTATGTGTTTCCAGGACTCCCTCTAGTGACAACGCAGTGCGACTTTGCAACCAACTGGTCAGCAAACACGGCAGCCATGGTCGGTGGAAATTATAAAGCCTTATCTGATTCCGATAACTACTCAATTTCTGTGTGTGCGTTCATCCTCCATTACCAATATGCAGCAAAGACAGTATATCCTGTATTGCGCATAATTACCATTGTATTCAGTGGTTATGCTCATGATATTTGAGATGTATTTTTAGACTGGGCAGAACCCACTTAGGTTGAGAACATAATGAACCTCTTTACAAAGTAGTTCCAATACAAAATGCCAGTGCCTGAAAATGTCACTCCATTATGAGCTAATTATGGTGTCTACTAGATCTTTTCTGTCCTATTTCCCTTGAATATGCCATCATAATGTCGATAATGATCGGCTATATGTTTTTCCTCAACTAAGAGAATCCAGTTAAGCTTTGTCTGTAATTTAATCATAGGTTATGGGTAGCTCTCACAAATATAATAAATGACAGCCACACTATGTATTTCTGTGAAATAACTTGTCTAGTTTAGTCCATCTACACTTGACAAATCACTTCTGTTGCAAATCTCTCAGGCAAGAAAGTTTCAGTAAGATTGCCACAGGAGTACAGGTCTCTCCAACTCTGTATTGACACCAGTGCAAACCCTTGGGCCAAAACTAGCTTTCCCGAGGTCCCCGCATGGCCCTCGGGGGTTTGCAGGCAGCCACGCCCCATTTCTCTGGCTCACTTCCTTCCTCCTCATCTCAGCTTAGTGATTTTGCAGCTCAGCATGAATTTGCAGGTAACACGTACTGGTATTTTGACCCCAACCCTTTGGTTTTTGGCCCCATCCTCACTGGAATGCGGTCCTGAGAGCTCCTCCAAAATAGAATTGAACCTGCAGGCTGAAAGAGGGATCCGTGGTCGGCGGCAGCTTTCCGTGGTTACTTTCCAGCATAGCAGTTATGACTTTGCATTGCTCACAGAGCGAAAATTCTAAAGCCAAAAAGTTCCTTCCATTTTTCTGTGACTCCATGTGGCATTTTTTTTTTAATTTTAAGATTTTTCCTTTCAGGAAGTATAAATGATGACTATTCTCTACTGAATTACCATTTATGAAATAAACATTTGCAAACAGTATGATTTACATGTGCACTAAGTGCTAGAAGTAAACTTGTCATGTCTTTACAATTAGGTCCATAAATTTAGCCACTGAATGATTCTATGAATCTATTTTGCATATACAAAATTATTGTTTCCCTCTCCTTATTTCTGGATAAGTGTCAATCTGAATACTGAATTTCTGTTTATCATACTTGCACAGTGCAGTAATTTCTCCTTGAAGTGTGAACTGCAGATGTTTTAGATTGCCATATTCACAGTGACAACCACTGGCTAAGGGCGCAGCCCTTTGACTTGCCAACTTCACCTAGGAGCTATAGGATGATTCAGAACCTCCTGTTCAGAGATGCAGTGGTCTTCAGAACTGGGACTCCGGAGGCCAAAGCCCCACCTTGTCTTGGAAGTGCATGTAACTGGGCTTTGGGGTGTGTGTGTGGAAATCAAGGCAAGGAGGGGAATAGACCTAAGGCTGGGGACTTGCACCCGTTTCTGTTGGCATTCTAGGCTTTCTTTTCTCCTCCCACGCTTTATGGCTTTCTAGATACTTGAGGGAACTGGGTCTCTTCAGCCTGGAGAAGAGGAGACTCAGAGGGGATCTGTTGGCGACATACAGGTATGTGAGGGGATGTCACAAGGAGATGGGCAGAGACCTGTTCTCCCCTGCAGAGGAAGGCAGGACGCGCTCCAACGGAGCAAAGCTCAGGGAGCCAAGGTTCTGTTTGGATGCCAGGAAGCACTTCCTGACAGTCAGGACCCCGAGGGTGTGGAATGGGCTTCCACGAGAGGTCGTTGAGGCCCCATTGGTGTGGGTGTTCAAGGATAGGCTGGATGTGCACATGGTGGGCATGTCATGAGCGGAGCCGGCTGGTGCCGGAGGTCAGACTAGATGGCCCAGGAGGACCCTTCTGACTAGCTCTGTTTCTATGTTTCTATACCTGAAACTAGTCACAACAGAAGTGGAGGTTGCCGCTGCCATGTGCTTCCAGACATAGGAAGCACACAAGCATCCAAATTCAAGGCTTATCTGCCTCAAGGGCTCAGGACATTGAACTGTGCCCTTAATATGCACACTGGAAGAATAAAACTTATTTTCTGTGCAAATTATTCTGGGGCATTATTAAGAATACATTTTAGATGTTTCAGCCATTGATTGCATGAATTACAGCATTAAGAATGAAGATGCTCAGATTAACTGAAGATCCTACGGTGTGTGCAACATGCTAATCAGTCTGGAAGGGGGAATAATTCAGTTATCATGTGCTTGGATAGCTAAGGATGCGCAGCTCCTTCTTAATACAGTGGGACTTACTTCAGGTGCCTGCCTTGTGCAGCAATCCTTGGTGGTCCACAGCACTGCATATTTCATAAGATTGCTGATGCCAGCTTCATTTCCACTCCATGGCATGTCATATGGGATAATGAGTAAACAGTAAATAGTGCAGTCTTCAAACCTTTGCCATCTGCTAAAAGTTTAAAATATTCTTCCGTTTTGCTTTTTCCAACATTAGGTTTTTTTGCTTTATTTCTTTCTGAATTTAATGTTCACTAAGATAGTTAGGAATTGTGCAATATCATCATATGATTTTACCATCAGTGACATCATGATTTTGTGTGGGCATATGAAGTCTCCCATACCTCTGTGCATTCATGATTGTAAAGTCCCTTGATCCCCAGTGGAATGGGAATTATTGCAGGAACAGGAAAATGTGGATCTAAAGCAAGGATCCTCAAACTTTTGACAGGGCCAGTTGAAAGGTGGGCGCGGCTGGCGAGGCGGCAGCGGTGGTGGCGGGTGTGTGTGCGGCAAGGAGGCAGCGGCAGGGCATGGTGAGGCAGCGGCTTGCTTGCGCAGAGAAGGCCGCGTGGCTGGCCACCCCTGGGCTCCCATAATTAAAAATAGATTTTAAAAGTTGTATTTTTCTTACTTTTTAGTTTCTTCATCTTCATCTCTCTTTCTCTTCTGCCTGCCTCTCTTCTGTTTCCCGCTCCGTATTCCCTCTCTGTATATGTGTGTATTGGGAGAGGGGTGGGGAGAGCTGGCGCACATGCAGTTGAGCTGTTGCAATTTGGTGCATGTGCTGGCTCTCTCTTCAGTTTCTGAGAATGCCTGTGCTGGCTCAGAGATTTTGGACACGCTCGGAGATCGTTTTCTCTGAGCGAGTCCAAAACCTCTGAGGCGGGCCGGATAAATGGGCATGGTGTGCCGGATGTGGCCCGTGGGCCATAGTTTGAGGACCCATGATCTAAAGAAATCCTTTCTTTGTCTGCTGCATCCTTTTGGATGTATCTTAAAGTTTATACACCTCAATCTGGCCCTGTGATAGGGCTAGACTCCAGAGGTATAGGCCAATTAGTAAGCTAAAGATGAATGGTTGTGAAGTGACAGGAAATTGATCTAGATAATTATACTATTTTCCTTGTAAGATCATACTTTATCTTACACACACACATATACTTAAAAGATCAGAGTTCTTAAAAGAACGAGATCACTTTGTATAGTGTTTAAATGCTTTGTATTGCACTAGTACTTTACCGAATCTTGCTTTGAACTGGAGACCATCAAAGTCATTTGGTTTCTTTTAACAGTATTTTGGTTCAGCTTTGATTAAGGAGGGTTCGCCTTTGGGTAAGGTTTCCGTGGCTGCTAGTCAGCCTTTTTCAGGAATCTTGCTGTAAAATACTATTGGACTGTTATTTCTCAAATGAATTCAGTATGCCCTTATTATAGAGTCTTAGAGCTTGTATATATTCAATTGTTAACTGTGTTTTTCTTCTTGCTGATGACATGAATGCCACAGTTCTTGTTTTTAGAGAATGAGAGAGTATGTGAAATAGCTCATCAACTTACAGAAAAATATTCTCCTGGCCTTGGTATGAGAATAGCTTTTTTTCTTTATATCCCTCAGGTTTCACTGAACTGGCCTTGGCTGAGATGCCAGATAAAACACCAGAGGGTAAAGAAACCTTATCTAGGAATGAAGGTTGGTATTGTTTTCTTCTTGAGAAACTTGTTCTTTCATTTTCTCAGAATACCTATTGTAGGAAAGATAATATCATCCCACTTTTGTGTCTAATTCAACTTACAGACATATTATCCCCACCTTTCCACTGGACATAACTGCTTAGAAAACTTAGATCTGCACAATCTGTGTGTAGAGAAAGTGAGAAGATTCAATCAATACTTGGTTGCTTAGGGGCCTATTATGTTCCTCTCTTCTGGTTTGTGTATGTGTGTGAGAGAGAGAGAGGGAAAAAAAGGGGGAGAGCAAGAGAGATAGAGCTATAATTTGGTACATATTTTTATATTTTGGCACCAGACTGAGCAGTAGCACAATCCTGTACAAGTCTACTTAGAAGTAGGTCTTGCTGAGTTTAAGGGGCTTAGGTTAGTGGGTATAAAAATGCAGCCGGGCAAGGAATAAAAGCAGTTGAAGTTACATTGGATAACACAATAAAATAGCCAAAACAAAATATGTGTTGAATTCTATGTGCATTTCCCATGTTGATCTGGAGTTTGTTGCACTGACCTCCAATTTTTAGAAACTGTGAACTTAAGAGAAGGAGTAGAGTTTAGAGTACTTATGAAATATGTATAAGGGCCAATTATGTGCTGTTTACCTCTTAGCGCTTTCCCTCTTGACTGCATAATCCAGGATGGAGGGGCATTCGCCTGTCCTTGATGGGGTCACACTCCCCCTCAGGGATAGGGTTTGTGGTTTGGGGGTGCTCCTGGACCCAGGTCTGTCCCTGGAAGTCCAAGTAGACTCAGTGTCCAGGGATGCCTTCTTGCAACTACGAGATTTTCCAACTACGTCCCTACCTGGATGGACAGAGCCTGAAAACAGTCACCCATGCACTGGTAATATCCAGGATAGATTACTGCAATGCAATCTATGTGGAGCTGTCCTTTGAGTCCAGAAATTGCAACTGGTACAAAACCGAGCAGCAAGAATGGAGACTGGAGCACCCCTTAGGGTGCACATCACCCCAGTACTTGAAGTATTGCACTGGCTACCAGTTGCTGCCCAGGCCCAATTCAAGGTGCTTGTTATGACATACAAAGTCCTATCAGCTTAGGGCTTGTTACCTGAATGACTGACTCCTCCCATATGAGCCTGCCTTGCAGAAGGGCCCCTAAGATCAGGCCAGGAGGCCCTTCTGCAAGTAGCATCCCTCAAAGAGGTGAGAGGGATTGATATAGAAGAAGGGCCTTCTCGGTGGCTGCTCCCTGTCTTTGGAATAGTTTGCCTACGGACGTCTGCCTGGTGCCGTCTCTGTTATTGTTTCAGCGCCAGGCAAAAATGTTCCTTCTTAACAACTTTTAAAATAACTGATCAAGTTCCCCTGTCTACTATTTTGTCATGTTGTTATAATTATATGGTTTTAAATTTTGATTATGATGTATTTTATTGTTTGTTTATTACTGTATGTATCTATATTTTTACCGTAAGCTGCCTTAAAACCTTTGGGTAGAAGGAGACATATAAATGGAATTATAATAACAATAATCTGTCATTATCTATTTATTTGATTTATATTCCACCTTTTTTCTTTTAAAGAACTCAAGGCAGCTAACATCATTCTCCTCTTCCTGCTCTGAGTCTTATCTCCATAACAACAACCCTGTGAGCTTGGGCTGAGAGTCTGTGACTGGCCCAAAGTCACCCAGTTGGCTGCATGGCTGAACAGGGACTAGAATCCCGATCACCTGAGTCCTATGCTCTTAACCACTATACCATACTGGTTCTCTTATTTCATATGTCACAATTGCAGATTGAGAGAGAGTATAGCGGGGAAATGCAGTTTGCAAAACCATCACCCCAAAACCCATCTTCCCACTGGATATTCATGCGACGCATTCAAGTTGCTTAATGTTGGGGCTCTGGTTTGCTAGTTGGACATTTGAATGCTAAAATGTGCTATGTTTCAGTTCATGGAGCTGTAGTGAATTTACTTGACATGATGACTGTGGAGATCTTGTTTACTTGCCCTGTGATTGTTTGGCCAGAGTGTGGAGCTTTGGAGATACGTTTAGTGTTAGCTTTCTCTGAGCCGCACGGACAACCAGATTACCTTTCACAGGGTAGCTTAGTCACATGTATCATTCTGACTGGTGGAAAGGATAATTTTATCACACAAAAGGCCCAGATATGTTGCATGCATTATCATGCATAAGGTTCTGGTTTTAGCCCATAAAACCTTATGTGGCTTGGGATCCAATACCTGCCTTAGGGCCTCAGCTGCCATCTACCCTGATGCTGCCATCAACTGTCTGAGGCCTTTCTCTGAGTAAGGCCTCAGAGGGAGGCTCAGAGCATAACATTGAGGATGGCCTTCTTAGTAGCAGCCCCTGACTTTGGAATGATGTCCTTTTAAGGTCATTCTTCTGCTGCCAGGTTAAGGCATCCCTGTGTGTCAAGACTTTTAAAGACATCTAAGGATATGTAATGGTTCAATGGGTGCACCTATGTCAGGCGCTTTAACAGGTTTATTTATATCACTTTTTTTTTGCTGTTAAATGGTTTTACAGTATAATATTTGGAGAATTTTTTTATGGTGAAGTCCTGTTCTGGGAGCAGTTCCAAGGTTCCAAACCACCCTGAGAGCTTTCACTATTAGGTGGTACACAAATGCCTTTTGTGTGTGTTTTGGGCAATGAGGCCTGTAGCTATTCTGCCTTGGCACTTGTTATGAGGGGCATGATTTTTTCTCTCCAGATGTTAGCAGTACATTTCAGGTCTCACACGCCTCCACCCATGTGCCTTAGGCACAACCAGATACAGTAAAACCTTGGATTGCGAGTAACTTGGTCTGCGTGTGTTTTGCAAGACGAGCGAAAAGTTTTTCTAAGTTTTAACTTGATAAAGGAGCGATGTCTTGCAGTAAGAGTATACGTGCACTTTGCCTGCCAAGTGTCACGTCACAACTGAGCGCTGGGTCTTCTCTCCCTCACGGTGGGTGTGAGCCCAGCATTGTCTCCTCCCCCCCCCCGCTCCGGAGTGCACCTGCGAGCGCGCCCGCCTCTCTCCCGAGCGCACCCGTTTCAAATGTTTTTAAAATCAAATGTGATTTTAAAAAGTCACAGAATGGATTAACCTTATTTACATTGAACCTTATGGGGAAATTCGCTTTGATATACAAGTGCTTTGGATTACAAGCTTGTTTTTTGGAACAATCCAAGGTTTTACTGTACTACTTAAAATCTGCGGCTAGCAGCTAGGTCTGTTTTTTCCCCATTTTCACCTAGAGTTGGCACAGGGGACCCTGTTCTGAAATTTACCTTCCCCCTCTCACTAGAGTCCTGATCTGGATCAGGGCTACCTGGCCTGTGCTGGAGTAAAAACAAGGAAACACAAGACATACAGCTCCTAGATAAAGCTTTAAAGTATCGCCTGTTTTGGTCCTTCCTTGTGCTCATACGCACACCATGTTCTTCATCTGATAATATGACAAGGTCCCTTGAAATTTGCCACTTCTTCCTCATTCTAAAGCAACATTCATATTTGTTTGCTGTTATTTTAATATTGTATGACTGAAACTGGAAAGCTGCACATGTTGACATTTTATTATTCATTTGTCAGTTGATCTTTTCCCGCAATAGGGCTGTTTGTTTTATAACCGTATTAAGTATTGGTTTGCGCATTGTAGCAAACAAGGATGAGGTATCTCTTTCACCTTGAAAAATATTGCAAGATAAGCAGAGCTTTGATTGTGAACCCACAAGATGCCAAAAAAAGAAAAAGAAAAGAAAAATCTTTCAGAAAAGAAAGGGAACATAGCTACTAATGTGCTGTATTGATATTTCTGTAGAGGTCTGATGATGTTATCCATTAACTTGAGCTAATTATCATCTGATAATGTCATTCTTCTGGTTTGGATCCTGTGGTACTGCTTTAAGTATTACTTTGCTTATTTTCCAGATTTTTTTTTCTTTTTGGAATTTGATTTTCGCCTTAATTACAAATGCAAACACTGCTTTTTTTTAAAGCCATCTAAGAACTTCCCAAACAATGAATGAGGAGGATATTATGAAGAGAGGTACGTTTCAAAGCACTGGGATTTTCCTTGCCATCTAAAAAATTGTTGGAAAAATTATGAGAGGGGACCTTAGTTCTATTTCAGTTTATTTCAGTAGTACAGGATGACAGATTAGCCTTTACTTCCATGCTGAATAATAGAATTTCACAGTTTCTAGAAGTCAGAAAGCTAGGGCTATTTCGCCCCCATTTTCTCCCAGAGTTGGCACAGAGGAGCCTGTTCTGAAATTTAACCCCACCCCCCTCCAGAGTCCCAATCCGGATCAGGGCTGCCTAAAAACAGGAAATACAAGACATACAGCTTCTAGATACAGCTTTAAAGTAACACCTGTTTTCCTCCTCAGCCTAGGTTCTTGTGTCTTGGGTGCCAAGATTAAAAATGGGTTTTAATAAGCATCTTAGTTTGCCACCTCATCTAGTTATTTTCATTCCCGTAACTAGCCAGCAAGGGATTTGGTTTCCCACCTACTACCAAAAAGGCATTGTTAGTCTGGGCTAGACTTGCTGCCCAAGGGAATAGCCAGCCAGCAAGAATACACAGTGGTATAAGGCCACTTCTATCATTTTTAGGTGTTTGCCTAAACAATCTAAAATGTGGTATATATCTCCAGTCTTCCTTCAAACATGTGTATCCTATCGGTACAAACCTTAGGAATCTCCTCTTGCATGTCAGTTCAGTAATAATCTACGCACTGTGTAAAATGATCCAAAGCTGTACACTCTCACACTCAATGAGGTGGTAGACCTGAGCTTGGTTTTTGCCACTTTATAAACTGAGTCTTTTAAAAATGTCACACATTTTCTGGCACTAGCCTGCAGGAAAAGGCAGTGGCGAGTGATGTGACCACAAAGCAAATATCCACTTGGTAGCATTTGCAGCTGTTCCTTTAGAATAAAGATAATGGGCTAGTTTGCACCAAACAGCGAATCAGAGTTTATAATTC